TGGCATTAGAAGCGACCGTTTTATCAGAATTGAAAACCAATTCAAACGATAGAAAGCAATCGGAAAGTAATAAGAAGTCGTCGACCGTTGAAAGCAATCAAAACTCAATGGAGAAAAAGAAATTAATTGACAAGAGTTTGACAAAAATTGTAAATAGCGTTAAACCGACTGCAAGTGCTTTGAAGTTTGCGAATATCAACGAAAGAAAGCCGTCGAGCGCTGGAAGCGGTGCTTCGGTGACCACCGGTTCTCAGTTCGCGTCGAACGCGGGCCCACACGCGGTGGTCGTTGCGAACGAAAGCAATGGTAAAACTCGCGCAGAGGAAGCGAAATGTGATAATCCGAGGCAATTGCGAGACTTGCGTGGATTGAAGGGCTGGTCGTGTACGACGTGTACGTATCTGAACGCCGAGTCCAAAGACATTTGCGATATGTGTCACAGGAGTCGCATAATGGGCGCCGAAGTGAACCCATTGGTGAGCGGCGGGAGAGAGTGCTCGCGATGTACTCTCGTTAACGACAAAAACGAGAAGTATTGCAGGGCTTGTGACACATCGCTGGCCGATTCGCCCACATATATATAGCCTATAGTAGTGTCGATACATAAAAACTAAACCAACGCTTATTTGATTGACAATTTGATACTCGACTCACAAAACAGACGCTTCTTTTCATGGAATGAATTCTAACTATAAATACTATTTAGAGTAAAAAGACGAGAATCGATGGCTTTATTAATAATGTCTGTGATAGCAATCGATTGAAATATTCGGTCAAAACTTAATTAATATTTGTTAAAACTTTTTTTGTTTTGTGCAAATTTTATATTTACTGTGCCTTTCCTTTCCTAAAAAGTAAGGCTTTATTTAAAAACTATTATTATATCTCAGAATTCGGTTAAATTTTGAAAACATATTTAATTTTAAGTGAAATAATATTTTTAATGACAAATACTATTATTATTAAAATGCTATATAAAAAAGTTCTAATAATTAAATCTCATTTAATTTAACGACAGTTCAAATAAAGTTACTTTTGGTTTACGAATATTTTAGTCGTATTTTTTGTTTTATTAAATATTAATATTAAATCTATATTTTTTGTCATAAATTTAATCGATTTTGTTATTACTTTCCAATTAATCGATACTTTATTGTTGAAAACTTCAAAGTAATAAAAAAGCTTGTTTTCAATTAAAACTTGTTATGACTTATTATTAATCAATGCATTTTTATAACTAATATACGATAAAATATATTTTATTTGTGTTAAGATTTAAAAAGGAAAGAAAAAATAATCATATTTTTAAATATAAGTTGCGATTAAAAGACGAATTGTTGATTATTATGTGTTTAATGAATATAAGTCTCGATTTCGTAGACTTTCTTATCTTTTTTAATAAGTTTGGGTCTTTTGCTACGATATGAAACGGCGGCCACAATAGCGGCTCCCCTTCCGCTCCCGTCTTCCGATAACATTAAATTGAATTTGATTTCCGGTTTAACCAATTGTGAAATCTTCTCTTTAACCCAACGTTTGAAATGCGGGTGAAGTTTGATAACTGATCCGTCAAATGCTATTGTGTTTCGCTCTTTTTGTATGCGATTAAGAAGTGTCGCACAGCCGACGGCCACCAGATGTGCGGCCCGTCTCGACACACGACTATTGGCTAAACTGATTATATGAAGATCTGTTATCGTATACTCTTTGGTAAAATCTCTATTTAACAGTTTTTGAGTTTCGGTAAATCTTCCCGTTTCAAAGTCCTGGTCTATCTTTGAAACATTTTTGGCCGATAATGAATGCATATTCAAGAGATTGGGCGGAGTCTGGCCTTTGAATAACAACTTCTCTTTAATTAAGGACAAAAGGACGAGACGAACACATTCTCCCAAATAGAGTCCGGACACCATCTTCTCAAACGCCTGCTTTCCCTTATTTACAGACTTGGAGTCAATCTCTTTATCCCATTTCGTTCGCAACCAATCGATCACATTATTGTCGCCAAAGGCTCCCCATTCAGTGTTAATCACCACTTGATTGGGTTCGCCGTAATTTGAGGGCCACTTCTCAATATTTTCCAGCTTTTCGATATAACAGGCATTAGTTCCCGTCCCCACTATTAGGCCCACATTGCAGTCCGGATTCTTATGGGCGCACGACATGAGTGTACCGGTCGTGTCGTTGATTAGGGCCACGATATCGACAAAAGCGTTGGAAACGTGAGACTTTCTTTTGAGGGCCTCTTTGAGCAGTTTGACGACATCCCTGTTCACCACATTAGGGCACCGAAAGCCCTTTGTCCACGTGACCAGTTTGGCCTGACTCAGGCCGTACTGAACGCACGGGAAGCTAAACGTGAAGCCCAGCGCTATTCGGATTGTGTCTAATTTGTGTTTTGCCGCGAATTGTGTGATACAGTCGGCGATAAAATCAAACAATAAAACCCCGTCGGAGGCCATTAACTGATCGGGAATTTTGAAGATCTCGCTCTCCATTTTGGCCTCTTTTGTGTTCAAATCAATGAGAATGACCCGGAAGTTAGTGCCGCCCAAATCCAGTGCCATATATCTGCCCTTTTCATTGTTGTTGGGAAGATCTCTCACATAAGTTATCAACATTTTAATAGTCGCCGTCTTCTCATCG